GCATTTCTTTGGGGTGCGAGTCAAAAGGATGGTGGTTAGTTGATTTTTTGGTGTTTGTTTGGATTGTTGACATTTGGTGTTATTTAGTTGTGTGGGAATCATATGTACGCTGGTACTGTCACACAATGAAGCATGTCTTGCATTGTACACCAGGTTAGAATTAGCGGAAATAGTTAGGTACCAAATAAGAAGGTTTTGTACTAGGGTTGTTTTGTGTTGATTAGGTGTTAAAGAGGGCTGTGTTGAACTAATCTGTTTGTTCGGGACAATGTGAGTACAATTGTCAGCATAGGATGATCTATTATTTACAGTGTGTCTATATACATATAATATAATATGCATAGAGAATAATGAGTGTCCTCAATAACAAGGACCAAAGCTTTGTCCGTTCGTACAAATGGTACCCTGCACCACACACACGCACACACACAACACACACCATCACACAACACACACACACACACACACACACACACCATATATATATATATATATAGTATTATATATATATAATATTATATATTATTATATATATATATATATATTTATATTTATATTTATATACATACATATATATATAAGTAAGTAAGTAAGTATGTATAACTGACAGCTCACTTAACAAAATAAGGTGTTAAGAGATAGAGTTATGTGGACCACCTGCTCTGATGTGACAAGTAGGGTGGGCTTCATACTTTCACTATCTCTTGGCGGCTCATTCATCTAAATAAGTTGTCAGCTGGTGTATATTCCCCACCTCTATATAATGAGTGTCCTTCTCATATGAAGGGATTCTCTCACACAGATGATTCACAATCTCAACCAAGTGAATAAGGGGGAGAGAAATTCTCATAGCCACACTTGGTTGAGATAGAGCAACATCATTGTATGTGGGAGAATCCCCTAATAATATGACATATTAATAATATGACATATGATACCCATACCCATTAACCTCATATGAGCTCATTTTACTAAATGAGCTATTAATGAGAGCAGCCATGTTCATATATATATATATATATAATATATATATAATAATATATATATATATATATATATATATATATATATATATATATAGAGTGCAGGAGAGAGATGAGAGAGAGACGAGAGCGAGAGAGAGAGAAATATGGGTATGCTTGGTACAAGCACAAATTTTGTGCTTGGTAGTGATGTGTCACATCCTCATCCACTCATTACCCATGTGAATATGGTCCCACATTTGAATGAGTGGAGGAGATGTGACACCTCACTTACCAAGCATACCATATTTCTCATAATATATATATATATATATATATATATATATATATATTATTATATATTATATATATATATATATATATATATATATGAGAACATGCGGCTCTCTCTTAATAGCTCATTTAGTAAAATGAGCTCATATGAGGTTAATGGGTATCATATGTCATATTATATATTGGAGCTTGTAGGAATGTATTCCTATATATTAGTAGGTTTTTGGTTCACACGATCAATTGTGGCAAGCGCTTGTCACAGACTCACAGGGTAGTTTAGAATTTCAGGATTTATTCGAAGTAGATAATAACTCATAATAATGGAGTAGATTCTTTATTGGCTATTATGTGCATATCTTTTATTCCTTGGTATAGTTGCTAAATCTGTACAATCCCCCCTTCACATATGGTTAGCTAATTCTACGGAAGGACCCACTCCCATTTCATCATTTTATACGCAGCGGGAATTTTTCTTGTAGCTCGGCTTCTTCCTCTTTTTATAGTTATACCTTCCATAATGAATCTGATTTCTTTAATAGGCTTAATAACGGTAGGGGCGACTTTAGCATTTCCGCTCCCTGCTAGTCACATTAAAAGGTTTGTGTCTCACTGTTTCTATATCTTGGTAGCTCATTTTTCTAAGTGAGCCTCACCACTTTGTGTGAGTGTGCGCATGCATGTATTTATATTTTTGGACAATGTAAGTCTCTTATTGCAATTGTAAAATTTTTAATTTTCTTTTCATAATATTTTTTGAGTCAGGGTTGATTGTTTTCATCAATGGTTGCTAAATTTGTTTATTACTGATTTCAGGTGAACGCAAGTGGTCAGTTCGTAGGCTTGGCGGAGATGACTGGGCCGGTTGATTTCAAGAAGACCATGGACTTCTGGCAGCAAGATAAATGGAATGGCTTTTTTCCAGTAAAATGGCACATAATAAAGGACATTCCAAACAGGAATTTTCAGCATATCACTCTTGAAAACAATGACAATAGAGCTGTAACTTTCAGCAGGGACACACAAGAGGTACTTTGTCCCAGCTCCATTATGCCTCGCATTTTCTAGTTTCCTATACTCAGCAGCTTGATCGAACCAGGCCTCCGCAATTTCAGAATCACCCTGCAGAATGGCCTGTTCAATACTTGAAAAAAAAATTTGGACATCCCCCCCCCCCCCCCCGCCCCCCCGCCCCTCTTCTTTTCCCTTTAAAGTGAAGGTATCTACTTTTCAATAAGGATTCTTCCTTTGGTAGTCCTGGAGCCTGAATCTAGATTATCAGCTTAGTGTCTATATTTTTGGAGTAATGTGAACCTGTAGACACTTCTTGGACAATCCAATGGTACTTCCAAGTTCCAAGTAATTGAAATAATAGCACAATTTAATTTTCATCTAGAAGCTTTTGCTGGCAAGATGCTAAACTAACTTGTATTGGATAAATGTCAAATAAATGTCAATTTTCTTGAAATTTAACCCAGTTTTGTTTAAGTGATTACGCATTACATACATAACTGTATCCAAATTTGCATGTATATCCATGAAATACAACTTTGTGCCTCTTGAGGTTTTTTAAGGTTCCTTTGTCTGACACGTTTATTTGCATCATCAACAAACCTTTTCACAGTAAAACAATATTTTTCTGTTTACATCTAAACAAATAATAATTTTTTGATGCACTACTTCTTGCAGATAAAACTTCCTCAAGGTCTAAAAATGCTTCAGATTTTTAAGGCTTACCAATCGGGAACATCAATACTAGATGATTTTGACTTCTATGAGGAGAAGGAAAAGTCACCGTCTGCCAAGAGAAATGAACCAGCATTGGCGCATTCAAATTCTGATTCTCTAGATGAATGTTCTCTGGTAATAATCTGTAGCGTATTTAAACATTCTAATTTTCCCCCCTTCCCCCCTGGTTGACTGAAATAACTGGAACTAAGTTCTGTTTTCGAGTGCATTTAAGACTTGTTTTGTCAGTTAATATTTACATTAAGACTGAATAGTACTTTTGAATTCAAATGCTTTGTTTCTATCATTTAATTATTTACCAACTGAGTCTTTTTATGATCTTATCTGATCTCAACTTGTTTACAGGAATATTTGGAATCCTCATTTAAAAATATGAAAGTGCAAGAAAGACCTCAATCATATCTCGAATCACAGTATCAACCAAGAGCCAGATCATATTTTGAAACTCAGTATCAAGGAAGACCCCGATCATATTTTGAATCACAGTATCAAGCAAAACCAAGATCGTATTTTGAATCGCAGTACCAAGCAAAACCTAGATCATATTTTGAAACACAGTATCAAGGAAGACCCAGATCATATTTTGAATCACAGTATTCTCACAACAATTTCAGATCAGATTCTGCTTCACAGTATTCTAATAGTAACAGGAGACCGCATGTCAGCAGCTGCTCTACCGTGAACAGAAGTTAGTCTTGCATTTATTAACGTTATCATGAGTCAAGTATAACTTCGGCTATATTATTCCCTTTTCCAGCAGAATCAAAGCAAATCGTCTGCTGTTTTTGGGGGGTTTTTTTCTCATGATTTTCATAATTGTCTCTCACGATTGGCTGGGGGTTATGAATGGATATTTTGATATCTTCAGCTTAATTTTACGAATTGCTTGAATCAAACTTTATTCTCTGTAAAGCTATATCCTTTTGAGGTTATGGGTGGAAAATGTACACCATTTGTTGACTTGGCTTCTGTGATTCCTCTGACAATGTAGATTTTAAGTGGAGTTTGTTTTTATGATCAGGGTATTGAAAAGGTGATATTGAGCAATTGTCTTTTTGAGTATAAATCTCCGAATTTGTCATGCTAGCATGTTTGTACTTTATATTGTTTAGTCTGTCAATAAATTTGCATGTTGTTCTTAATGGGTTGCTCTTCCAATGTGACTTATTTGGTTCTCAACCATCTGGTCATTAGATGCTTAACGTAATGGATCAGAATTGGGTTTGGATCCTCTAAGTGGTAATTGTAGTGTCTGTGGTAATTAAAGAGGGTCTAATTAGCCAAATCGTAATCATTTATTTTAATTTCAAGGGATAGGATGTGGTGTTTTTATTATTCACAAAAGTGATTTATATGTTAGTGATTTTCAAGTCAACAATAATTTTCTATCTAGTGGAATTTTATCTTGAAATTGGAATAGACACTAAAGGAAAGGGCGATTGGACCCTCTTACTACACACATACACACGCTCCCCTACTCTATTAAGGAAATTGTGAGGACATATAAAAGTGGAGGAATGAATATTTATTCCTTCAATTTCATAAAGAATTGGAGGTTATTCAAATAAAAGATGAGGGTAGTTAAGTCATTTATCAACATCTTATCTGTTCTCTTACTCTGCGAGGGCCTTTTTCTAGAAGATAATATTACTTTCATTCTCTATTTCTTTCTCAAATTTAAAATTTCACTCCCCTCTTTCTAAAGGATCCATTGCTTTCATTCCTCCATTTTTTCAAATTCAAGACTTCGTGGATGACCTTCTTCAAAATCATATAATTTTTAAATAAAAAAGCAACACAATGTAAAGGGCATCAACATTTTATAAATAAGAGTCTTAATTAATACTGCCACATTTGCACTTGCATGGATGCACGTGAAAAAAAATATTAAATTTGCTATCCAATTATTTTTATATAATACATAGTGACCATTGTCCACCTCAATTGAAGATTGAGGGGTAAAAAATAATTGGGAGGATCCTCTTCAGGACACGTGGATAAATATGTACAGTAAAAGCTAAAGCATATCCATTATACTTTTAAGCCCTTCATAGAATGTTATTTGCACCAATTCACTCATGCCCCATTGTATTCTTGGATATGTTTACACATGTTTTTTTAATGTTTAAGCCCTTAAGAAAACATGATTTGCAATAAACTGTAATACATAGATAAAAACTAATTAAAATTATGAATACCTCATTAATAATTTTCTATAATTAAGATTTTGGTTATTAGTGTTGATGTCAGAAGTTAAGTGGTGGGAAGTAGAACAACTTATGGAGTGCTTAGAGTCGCTTATTCTCCTTTGATGGCTACTTGTCGAGTAAAAAAGATAATTGTACATACATGCAACACGTTAGAGCATTCAGAGTTGGGTTCAACGGTGACCCTTTGAAGGTCAAGTCGGTAATAAATTGAAATGGAAGAAAATAGAACAAGATTTAAGTATTTTAGGGTGTCCAAAATTGCGTACCTTTGGGAAGTTGGGAATATGTCTATTAATACCAAACTGACACGGGTATTCACATAACTTTGGCTATGTCCATGCAGTCAGCTTAGCCAACTGATACTTTACATGTGTCAACAGTGGGTGATTCGAGTCATCCTTGTATTTAATGTGAGGGTGACAGAGGGTTATGGCGCTGACGTGGTCCGATGAGTCATTATGACTATGACAGAGGTACAATGATGTCTCTGACCATACATTTAATGGGATAGTGACTGCCTAATGTTGCTAGGTTCGAGAAGGAGCACCTTTCATCTTGGGTCTTCGAGAGAGCCCTAGTGAGGAAACCTTTTGAGTCGGTCGTTTTGTGTGAGGACATCTCCTGAGTCGGTCTTTGTGAGAGATCTGAGTGATGACGCCTTTCGAGTCGGTCTTCGTAAGATAAGGATCAAGTTGGTGTACAGTTAATTGGGACACACGTCACTTTTTGGAGTGAGATTAATATTTGATAATTTCAATGATATAACAATTAGGGTAAATTCTTATCTTTTAAATATACAAGTAGAAAACTATAAAAAAAGTATTTTGTAAAAAATAGTAAGTATATCATCCTAATCTATTTTATTTAAAGAAACTTTATCCAACTGATATAAATATTTAAAAAAATGTGTTAAGGTCCCAAAAACAAAGGCCTCATGTGGTCCAGCCCCATGAAGTTTTTCCCATGTGCTTTAACCCCAAAAGACCCAATAAATTGTGATCAAGCCCTTTTTCACACTCTCCCAAAAATTAACCCAAACAAATTTTGAAAATACCCCTCCCCTTTTTTTCTTCTTCTTCTCTGTGTCTTTCTCCTCGTCCTCTCCCCTAACTGGTCATTTCTCCTCTTCTTCTCTCCTCCTCCTCTCCCCTAACGCTACCTTCCTCCTCTCTCTCTCTCTCTCTCTCTCTCTCTCTCTCTCTCTCTCTCTCTCTCTCTCCTTCTTACTCTTCTTGCCCTCGATCCCGCCATCTCCCTCTCCCGCCTCCCCCTTCGCCACCATCGAGCCCGTCATCTCAGGCAAGCATTGAGAAGGCTTAGAGAATGAGGAGAGTCGGACGACAATATGGATGGAGAGAAGCATGTAGAAGAAGTAGGAGAGAAGGAGGGAGAGGTCGAACTCATCGAGATGAGATCCGTGTTGATGGGAGGTAAATCGAGATGTAAAGCGAGATGTAAAGCGAGATTGAGAGGGGATATGGATGAGTTTATTGATGAAACATGGTCTATAAGAGGCGTAGAAGATGGTAGGAGATGAAGGTTAGGGCTAGGGCTCGTATCTAGTGGGTAATGAAGGAGGAGGTTGACAATGAAGAATCTGGAACATATGTGTTAAAACGATTTTAGTTAGGCTAAAAATTTATGAATGCCTATAGGTCTTTGATGAAATATCAAAGAGAGACGTGGATTCTTAGAATGTGATAGTAACAAGTCGTGTACAAAGATGCAAAACAGCTATTGAACATTCTATAGATCGAGACAGTTTGCGATCAATTTATCTTAGAATTAATTTCATATCAGTAGTGTACGATTTTTTTTCCTTATTCTATTTTTATAAATTATACGAAGCCGCAAGAAACTTCATTTTCTATATATCTTCTGCATGTTATCCGCATTCTCACAGGATATATCATAAAACAAAGTAAATGCGTTTATGAAGGAACCACTTTCGAAGCTACTATATAACCTAGCTAGGTATCTCTAATCCCGGCCCAACAGAATAGATTATTGAAGGTCTAATGATTTAGATATTAAAAAAAAAAAAAAATTGAAGCAAGCCGGGCTGTTCTGAATCCCAATATATATAAAAGATCATTCAGCTGCCACGAGTAGTAGTAAATAAATAAATAAAGGTGGAGTAACAAAAGGAATTTTCTCTCTTTCAACGCAACGTCCTCAAACTTTTTCATGCATATCCGTTTCTCGCATTTCCATCACGCAAACAAGAAAGACGCGCACTAACTCTAGCTTTAGCCTTTGATCCCCTGACGATCGACCAGCACTAGCTAAACATAAAGTGCAGGTTACTTCACGAGTCCTCACCAAAAAACGAATTATATAGAGAGATACCAGCTGCTGATCGAGCTATAGGACAAAAATCCAAATTGAGTGGAAGAAGAAGGAAAATAGAAAACAAGAGATAGGTGACTCCCAACTCATAACACACAACATCCGAAAGGCCAAAAAAAGGGACTAGGACGACCACAGACTCACTGTTTGATATAAATGTTCCTTCAATTATACTACTAACACTCCGCAGTCGGTCAGGACTGAAGGCCATAATTTATGGGCTGAAACTTTGATTCATGTATGTAGCCATATATACATCGTTTTCAGTCTGGCCTAACGCGTGCTCTTTATGGGACTCACGTAACGATTTCTTTCTTTATCTACTTTGTTTATTGACAGGTTGAGAAACAACTGATGAACAACCCTACTATTGCTCCTGTCTAACATAAGCAAACACTATAAAAAAGTGCGAATAGTTAATTCTTTAGAGCGGGCTGTCTGAAGGCGCATGTTAGCGGGTTCTTGAGACTAACTTGCGCCCCCCGCTTGGTTTTCATGGCGAAGAAGAAGAAGGGAAGTGGGAAGAAGATCTTTAACATTGGATTGAGGTCTTCAAGCTCAAATTTGCTAGATCCCGAGGATCAAATTGATACTATTTTAGCGGGAGATGATGAGGATTTTAGTACAATGGGATCAACAGGTCCAAAAGGTGAAAAGAAGAAGAAATCAATGGAGGAAATCCTCAGATCCTCAGATTTCTTCGTCAATTCGCAACATTCTTTATGTTCTCCTCAATTGAATGGAATTCAAGCTCGTCAACTCCGTTCTTGTGATGGCGGCAATGGTTCTCCTAGAGTTTCATGGGCAGATGAGGTTGATCTAGAGGTAATCTCTTCTGATGTTCCTTTACTCCAGAGTTCTTCTTCAAATTCAGCAAGAGTTCTTGACTCAGTTTCAGAGATTTCAGAATCGATATCTGATATGGCTACTGTTTCATTGAAAACTGATATGAGGAATGTTGCTGAGGATAGTTCTGTTATTTTAAATAATAATAATCATGTTGTCAATGAGGATAATGCTAAAAATCCTCATCCTGAATCTGATTTAAATCTGGGAGCAGATGAAGTTGAACAGATAAATGGACAAGATAATGAGGTAATCTTGGAGGAAAAAGGAGCTAAATCTTTTGCTATCCTCTTCACTGATAATAGGAAATCGGGCAATGGATTATCTTTAAAATTCATACCATCTTCATAGAACAATACAGCCATGTTCTTTGCTGATGAATGGAAGGAGGGTGAAGATCTTTGGAGAAATGCTTTAATTGTGCATATCATAGGATTGAATGTTAAATTTAAATTAATGGAATCCTATGTTAACAAATTATGGAGTAAAATCTCTATACCGAAGGTTTCATTAATCAAACAAGGGATATTCCTATTTTTCAAACTGAGAAGCAAATGATAGAGGTCCTTGAGGCAGACCCTTGGTTTTTTGGTTCTAGACCTTTAATGTTGAAACCAAGGAGTATTGATACAGATATGGATA